GCCTGGTTTCGGTTACGGTCTGGCTGCGGTTTCTGTTACGCGTCGCGTTGGTTGCCGTTACAGCGGCAGAAACCGAGTTTCCGTTACGGTCGAAATGGTTCCCGTTACACCCCGCACCCGGCTTCAGGGCCCTCTCGTTCTACTACAGCATTCGGCGTACTACTGCAGACATATACCCTTGCTTTTCGTTTTAAGTTTTTGGGCGTAGTATACAGGACATGCTTCATTGAGAACATGGCGATTTAACTATAACGTCCTATAACCCCTAGAATGAGTAGCTTCCACTTGATTTTTCCATTTTCGTTTTCATTTGATTCTCCATTGCTGGCGTAAATTGTCCTGCTGCACTTGCGATACCTTACAGGTTGTTCTAGTAGAGAAGAAGGGAAACTAATCCCCATATAATCCCAATATAATATCTTCCCGTATTCCCCACTACAACCCCAGTATATATATATATACACCCTATTATAATGTAGTATCTTCAAGTAACTGCCATTTTCTTTTCCATTGTCCCTATATAACCCCTATATAAGATAATCCATTTCCCTACTTATCCCTAAACCTTAAAACCTAAACCCGAAACGTCAGATAGTGCAGGTGCATGGTGCAGACCTTCACGCTTGCTTGAGCGCTGTGGTGGGCACGGATTACACCTCTTTGCGGAAGCAGGTGGCTTAGGGTTTAGGGTTATAAGCGATTATATAGGGGACTACTATAGGGTTCAGTGGGGGCACTAGGAGTTTAAACTATGTCTCATATGGTAGCTTCCCAACCTTCATGGTATGGGGGAGTGAATAACGGTATACCTTACGTTTACCCCCCACCCAGTAGTAGTCAGTAGTGACTATAAGAGATGATGTGGATGCTATGAGGGTCCTCTTATGTTCCTATTATACCACTATTACGGTGTAGGGGGTCCTGATTAATATCTAATATTATGGTTCCATATTCCTTGTGTAACTATTGTACATGGTACCTCAAATGGACCTCAACATGATATTGGCAATTTTTTAGGCCCCTATATCATACTTGTTGCGTCGCGTCTTTGTAACCTGTGAGGTGAGGCACGCCAACTTTGACTCTTGCTTCTTCGGAAGTCACGTGCTCCTTTCGACTATGGAGGGAGGCAATCAGACAGTGGGTCAGAACGTTCTCTTCCAGGAATGTGGATTTGGAAAGGATATGGTGCGCTTCCTGACCCCAGACTTCTTGCGCAAGCTGAGGAAGCACACAAAATTGCTCAAACAGCCAACACCACACTTCGGGCAGGAACGGCGGCTTCGCGTTGCCGTCCATATTCGTCGAGGTGACATTGACGTCTCGAGGCAGACGAATCGCGACGTCTCCAACCAAATCTACTTGAAAGTTGTGAACAGAATCCGCAAGATGGTACCCGATGGCATTGCGGACGTCCACGTGTACAGCACCACCAAGGAAGGAAAACACGCAAGCAGTGAGTTCAAGGCATACGAGGATGCAGGCATGACCGTGCACTTGAACGGGGATGAGCAAGTTGATTTGGCGCACATGGCTCAGGCAGATGTGCTGGTCCAGGCCCCGAGCAGCTTCTCGTGGCTAGCAGGCGTGCTGAACTCTAACTGCGTGGTGTCTTTCAAGTCCTACCCTGGGGGCTTGCCGGATTGGATCTATCACCATGCTGGCAGCTTCAAGAAGGATGATGCTGACCATCTGCAGGATTGCATTGATGAGCGAATGTCTTTGTCAGGGTTGTAAATGCCAGGTGCCGGATAGATGCCAGTGTCCAAGACCATTGGCTTTATCATCAGCCAAAGGCTGATCTTTTTTATGGTCTGACCGGTTCCTAAACAATGCACGGAAAAAAAGTGTGAGAATGCACTGGCTTCTTGACAGTCTTCGGCATAGTACGAGGATGGAAGGTCCGCGGCAGACACGCTGGCTACTGAGTTTTTTGTTCAGGCTACAGTGAGGGATTTTGTTCTCAAATCTCTGGCAGCTGCCAGCAGATGAAGGAAAAAAACTGAGAAAAGTGTTGCGACGCCAAGACAACGTCCCATGCCTTGCGCATTAGTTTGTACTAGGTGTTGAGTACCAAGTGGCTCTGAGAGTGATATTCTGAAAGGTGTCACGTCCGACGCGCAGTCGTTACTCCCAGTTTGGCGTCTGTTGCGAAGACATCTTATGAAGCACAAGTCTTAGTTGCCCTTTCTAAGACATGCTAAGTTCTTACAAGGCCTGGGCCGTTCATCATTTGTGTAGTGGAACAAATGAACCTTTGGGCTTCATCATGTTTTCTGGAGCCACTATGAAAGTTACGTCAAACTTACTGTGCCTTCAGTGAATCTCCTGCCAGAAGTTCAGGAACCTGCATGCAAGAATATCACCACATGATAGTCAGCAAGACATCGTAAACACCCTAAAACAACAAAACCCCAAGCCTGAAAGCCTCAACCTCAAACCCTATCCCTTAAATCCTAAACTCTAAACCTTAAACCCGAAACCCTAAACTCTACATGTATTGAAGCACCGTCCGCGACCAGCCACCAGGAGATGAAGCCACGGCAACGCCTGGTGCGTCACGAAGCACAGGACCTCAGGTGAGCTTCATTGAAAGGATTTCCCAAAATTGGGGGTTCCTTATTGGGCGTCCTCCTAATAAGGACTATAGTACATTGGGGTTTATATTGGGGCCCCCCTATTTTGGGAAATTACCATTTAACCCCATGGTTTAGGATTTAGGGTTTAGGGTTAGCTTCGTTGAAAGAGAGGACACTTACATGCGGGCTTACCTAAAAAAAGGGGGTCCTTTTCTGGGAGCCTCGCCCTATGTATGGAAACTACCAAATGTCTTATAAGGAAAGACTTTAGTGATATGGAGTAGTTCTGCTCGCAATACTCCTTAAGAAGACAAACACTAAACTCTAAACCCTACTGGAATTTGACCCGGCTCAACCACCCAAAAACCCTAAACCTAAAAACCTTTCAGGTGGGTCAAGGAAGCGCTGACCATGCCACCGGGCTTGCATTTCGTTGCTGGAGACCTGTGGCCGTTTCTCACAGACAGACCTCCTGGGGGTATTGGGAATCTTATGAGCTATAGTCTACACTTCTTAAGGGGGTTATATGGGTGATTATGTAGGGGGATTTATAGGGGTTATTAGGGGGGACACTAGGAATTTAGACAATAGCTCTTATGGGGATGGCTTTGGAAACCCCCAAGTGTTTTCACGTGTTAGACAATAGAGACAATAGACCACTGACCTGTTATGCAAGAACCCGTCTAGGTACAACCTATCCAGAAAACTGGCATGCTGTGTTTTGCTGTGTTCACGTTGTTGCGCCACGGTGCATCCGAATTCTGATTTGTCGGGCGTCGGCGCCGAGCTTACAAAACTTTTGTTGGCCACGTCTTTCCGTCAAAGCCTGACAGCTAAGCTAGGAAGTTGTTCCTACCTACCTCTAATAACTGATGGCTAGTTGATTTGGTAGTTTCCCAAAATAAGGGGACCCCAATATAGACCCCAACAATCCTCAACATACTATAATCCTTATTATAGGGACCCCCAAAATGGTACCCCTAATTTTGGGAAACCCCCATTTGATCCAGGAAGCCGCAGGCAATCTGAGAAATCATCTCGAGCCCAGCAAAACCAAAACTGTAATCCCAGACCCCCTAAAGGATCAAAAAAATGGAACCCCTTCATGATCCCCTAGGTTCCCCAATGTAGTAATGGAGCCATTTTGGGGGGTTCCATTTTTTGGATCCTTTAGGGGGTCTGGGAAGGAAGGATCAATGACCAACCCCTCACTCAGGCTATGGCCGAAAGTCAATGCAGCAGCAGAAAGGCTCCTTTTCAAATTCCAGGGAAAGATGCGGGTTTCCCAAAATTAGGGGTACCATTGTGGGGGGCTCCTATAATAAGGACTGTAGTTTTTGGGGGTCTATACTAGGGTCCCTCCTATTTAGGGAAACTACCAGATCTCAACAGTAAAACATCATCGTTCATGCGCCTGATGGTTTGTTTTCGGAGGGGTTGTAGGTCAGCCACTAGGAAGTGGGCTCTTTTGATGATACCCGTGTGCACATATGCAGATTCAGAGGTGCATGTAGCAAGTATGTAGGGACATTCTTGGGCGATGCAGGGATTGTTCTGGAAAGAGAGGAGGCTACCTAGAAATTGTTATAGGATGCTGGCATTTTGGTGTATGGAAGGGGGGTTGTCCGTAAATGGGGGGGGGGGCAACAATATAGACCTGGACATGTTATAATCCTTACAATGCTCGGACCCTCCAAGAAGGGGCCCGTAATTGTTGCAATCCGTAATCCTAATCATTCTAAACCGCTACATAATCCTGGTTTCCATTATCTCGTTCATTTGATTCTCCATCATTGGGGTAACTTCCCTTAACTTTGGAAGCCCCCGATATTGCATAGACCTGTGCTTGGCGAAATAGCAAAGCCCGCATTGTGAGTCTTGGTCGTAGATTAGGAGCCAGGGGATTCGTAGGGATTCTATGAGTTTTTTTTGTCTAGGGTTAGGGTTTAGGGTGAGGGAAAAAGAGAAGCATATAGCCTAGAGGTAAGAAGCCTGAATACTAAGCGATGATGGAGAATCGAATGGTAAGGAGAGAACGGAAAACACAGTGAAGACTGGCTGTAGATTATCAGGGGTTATAGGCATGATGAACTAGCATTACTATTACTAGTATACTAAGACACCCCCCAAACCCTATTCTCATTAGATTAGCCCCTGCAGTAGTGTTGCGGCAAGCCCTGTGCCTGCAGTGAGCTCGCTCATTCGTGCAGTACATTATCAGGTAGGACAGACTGCAAATTTAAGTTACTATATTGGGGAAACCCATTATTCACCATATTTGCCCATCATGGTAACATGGTAAGAAATCTTTCATTTCCATCCTCATTGCCTTTCTAACAGTCCTTTTGGGGTCTACCCTGCGAGGGCAATGCTGGTAGGAGTGCCGTTGCAGCAGCTGTTTTATAGTGTTGTCCCCTTGCCATGAACATTGGGGGCTTCCAAAAAGCTACGAGGCCTTTTTGGGAGTCCCTATGACGATCATTTGATTTAGGAACGTGCTACAATTCGGGGGACCAGTTGTTGGAAACCCCATGTCACCACTAGCACTAGCACGATCGCTCTGAACGGGGAACTTGCCATTCCCACGCAAAGTGGTTCCGGGATGAGTAAGGATCGCGGCCCCCAAGCTGGGCTGCTGTCAAGGAACTTGATTTAAGTTACAACATTGGGGAAGCCATTTTAATTACTGTATATACCCATTAGGGGAACTTGATTAAGTTCCTTAATAGCCATTTCCAAGCCTTTCCGGGACCAGAGTATGAGTTTAGGGTTCCGGGCTTAGGGAGTATGGGCAAGGATTTCATCCTATCGCAGCTACATGTCTCAAAGAAATTGTAAACCCTATGCGATACAGCCCCCAGAATCCTGAGTAGTTCCCAAAGGCTAATAATTGCCTAAGCCAATAAGAGTCCCAGAGATTTCAAATGACTGCAATAGGTCCTCATCTTGTGTGGTTGGGGTGACTAGAATCTCCTTTTCAAAGCTGCTGGATCAGGTTTATGATCCAAGAGGTCCAGCCCCAAATTCTGACAGAGCTTCCGAAGTTCCTGCGGCCCGGCAGGGTACAGCTGCAAATGCAGGAAAGATGGCACTGAACTGAGGTAGGGGTTTCAGTGTCTTAGCTGACGTGTGTACGGATTCTGCAGTTGCTTACGATAAACGGGTGGTTGTCAAAAATATGGTCCTTTTTTGGGTACCCTAAATATTAGGTGCCGTATTATAGTAGGGATCCACAAAGGGACCATAATTTTGACAACCACCCAAACATTTCTACCGGCTATCTGGGATTCGGAGGGGTTGCGCGCTCTTTGTTTTCATTGTTACGCGGCAGCCCGAGAGCCTCAATCTCATTCTTTTTCTCAGTATGGAACTCCAATGATGATGATGTTGCAGCAGGAGTAGTAGTAGGAGTAGGAGTAGGAGTAGGAGTAGTAGTAGGAGGAGGAGTAGGAGTAGTAGTAGTAGTAGTAGTAGTAGTAGTGGTAGTAGGCGCCCCCCCTACCAACTATGTTGGTTGACAT